AAGGTAATTTGATTGCAGATACATGTATAAAATGATACGTTAGTTCTGTACAACTTCACGTTTCAAATAATTAGCTGCATATTAGGGCTGAATGATTAATCGGCAATGATAAAAATAATACAAATGTGTATTATATTATTCAACACATTTAAGTTGGAAATGTAGAGCTTGTGAACTGGCAATCAGGTACAATAAATTCAGTGTTCAAGCCTCAAGTCTGAAAAAATGAATGTGCTGGTCTTTGTGGTGAAAAAAAAGTTCTGGAACTTAATTTATAGAAAATAATCACATCTGAATAACAGTCATACTATTAATCAGACAAAAATGTGATAGGCTACTTTCACTAAATCATTTAGCCCCTCTGTATCGCATCAAAAATTCAGTTATATTTAAATATCCAGAATTCATCACATTAAATTATGATTTAGGCAGATAATTTGACAAAAGAAAATGTGAACAGACTGACAGTATATTATTTATCATGTAATAACTTCATTCACATAATTTAATAAAACATATATACAAAATAATATAAAGTTACACAAATGAAAACAAAAATATGAAGTTTAAGTCATTATTATATATAAAATAACACTATAAGAAATGATTCCAAACTTTTGAAGAGTAGTGTATACACAAAGTGTGCACTATAATGGTAGGCCATTAGTCTCAAAGTGCAACATAAACACTGAACATCTGCAACCAAATGCACTGACACAAGATAATACTTTTTCCCAGCCCTTGTTTTGGAGTGCCATGTGGAACATGGTACTATGGCATGGTTTTAGACCAACATCTCCAGCCAAGAGTACAAAAACAAATGAGACTGCTTCAGTCTGTTTTAAACACACTCAGTCAATACCAGTGCCTAGGTGCACACAGCTGTAACTCTTTCCACCAAGACACTTGTGGAATGCTGCCTTGCCCTGAGTTTTAATGCCTGCAATAAAGCTCTCAGAAAACAAGGGGCACCTCTATTAACATGTGTGTGGTCAAACCGGACTTCTGCCCCGAAGACTGAAGTCCTGAAGTGTCAACGAAAGAGACAAGTCCGAAAAACACCAAGGTAAAAATGCTTTTAAAAGCTGACCAAGTCAAACAAACACCAGATTGGGACAGGATCCAGTCCCACCAAGCCTTCCATGTGGTTATGTAGACCACAGGCAGGCTAGCATATGTGTTTTGAGGAGAGGTTTGGACTGGCCATGCTGTTATTAACATGAAAGCTTCTGCTAGCAGAAGACGGATGGTTTTTAGCCAGGCCCTTTCTGCTGAGAGAGGGAGTCTGGCTCTGTGTGGGAACGGATGAATCACACCAGCAGCTGGGTGGAACTCCACCAAAACGGCAATTAGTAAGCGGGTAACCAAGTAGCTGGGAGCAGACTTCTTTCTTCACACATATCGAAACAGATGAAGTGATGCATCAGCAGCTAACATCATGCTGAACTTCAGCAAAGTCACTGAACATCCTTGCATTGTGTCACCAAAACATTATCTACTGTTATGGTCCTCGATCCTTCGAGTCAGTAAAAAGTGTAGCAGTTTCTGTTCTGTTCAGGAAGTCTGTGTGCTGAGAAGTTTCAGGTGATGCTATATTGGGTTTTGGTGGCTTCCTTTACAAAAATAAGAACTCAGATATAGGTCAGGACGTCTGAATAACACAGAAGGGAAGTGAACACATGGCCATGTTGCACAGTCATAACCTGAGGGAGTGTATTTGCAAGGTAAGTAGCTATCAAGACAGACTACAGCACGCTATGCCCTGACTCAGACTATTTGTCATCTTCTGGCTCAAAAACACTCCAAGGTCTTGTCCTGACAGAATTATAGCCACCTCTTCATCTGCTAGGTCTTGCTGTCAGTACCACAGGAGAGATTACACGTCCTGTCCTCAAAGCACAGTCAGATATTAACTGAAATCTGTGTTCGCATGACACGAAGTCTAACCACAAAGACCTCTTGAACTTTTATTATTCTGCCATGTTCTAAACACTGAAAAACGTCTGTACTCCAATCTGCGGTGAGTGCAATTGCATCACCTAAATCCTGAGGCTGTTCAATTTAATTATACAATAACATGGTGGTGTAACCAGGATAAATTATTAAATTACCACAGCAAATTACTGTTCACCTTTTCGTACACGCTTGCTTGACACAGTTTGGGCTAGTCTTCCTGCTTTTTCTGCTACTTCATATCAATTCAGAGCAAATGCAGAAGGGATATACTGGATTATGTATGCTTACATTAAAACTATGGGTCACACTATAACAGTGGTGAAGCCAGAATTTTGAATTTCATTTAAAGGTGGTTTTAGGTTACAGGTTGGAAGGACTAGATAGAAAGCATCACGTCCCAGAGACATTCCTGCAGTGAAGCTGACAACTAGTCAGCTAGCCAAGGAAAAAGGACATTTTAAACCCAACAAATGATCGCTAACCTTGCATTTAACCAGGTAGTTACTATTACGACTGACCGCAAACCATGCTGGGTATCGGCTAATTCATCACAGGCCTATTTTTTACAGCAGCTCTAGGTGTAGATGTCTAGGTTTACTACTAACACTGTCATGATGATAATGGCTGTTGAAAATTGGTGATGACCACTGAAGCTCTCCTTTGATCATTTCCATTTATTTGTAAAGTGGAAAAAGGCTGCATGAACTTTGTGCCTTTGGGTTCATCCTGCATGATAAGGCCGCTAGTTGAATCACATTTTGTATCATTTTCATTGATATTTGAGAATCTTTTTTGAGCAGTCAGAGATCTGAATGGGCATAGCTTCCAAGTGAGGGAGCCTAGGCCCGACTGTATTTACGCCCCTACGCTACACTGCTAATGTTGTGATTCTGAAACACATTTTCACTGGAGCATCTTTCAGAATGAATGAGGGTTGCCCGAAGGAACAGACTCTTTGAACGTTGATCTGGCTTATATTGAATTGCTGCTCAAGTCTTTAAGCTTGATGATGACACATTAGGCTGTGAACTCAATGTAACTGCAAAAGACACAGGCAAAGCTTGGCTTAGGGGGGGTTTACAAGCCATTCTTTAGGGGCAGCTGGGATCCTGGCATGAGTTCCAGTGTAAAATGATATGGTGATCAGAGAGCGATACCCCTGTGGAGGACACCGCCGTGATCTAACGACAAACCCACATGCTCAGACAGACATGAGTAAGCTGTGAGGGTCTCATTCACCATTTCTATTCATCAGCACATCGGGTCACAAAACAAAAGGGCTTCCACAATGCCAACAGGCCTGAGTCAACATTCTAAATGTAGCCACGAGGCTACATGTAAATGCTAGTTTTTGTTTTCTCCACTCACCATTTCCCTTATGTAAGTCATCAATTCTGTGTCCAGTCTATGGTCTTTGTCATCTTCTGCACTTTTGCCAAGTGCTGGGTAATATATAGTCTATATTGTGCTATAGTTTTTTGTGATATTGATAGAATAGATGTATAATATCCATGACAATCCATAAAAGAGCATGTCCCTGTTGCTATGCCCTTATGTAAGATTCCCTTGGGGGTAAAACAAGCTTCAGTATCTTTATTAATCAATACTATGATGTATCTGAAATATACTGAATTCTACCACCACCACCCACAACAATCAGCCTTATAACACGCCACTGTAAACTCGTCTGCTCTTTGGTCGACTTCAGCAGCTTTCATTACACCTTTAGCACAAAGGCTCTGCTGATCGGTCAATAATCCGTGTAGATCAATCAGCCAAAGAGTGGGGGGGGGGGCAATCAGAGCATGTGAAATGTGCAGATAATGACATATTGACACATAAAGGTTGCACTCACAACATACTTTGAAATAAATCTGGTCCATAGCTTTCTTGTACTCAAACCATGGTAAGCGTCTTAAGCTGGCCGAGTTCTGTACTGACCTAAGGTTGGCCTTTCCGCACCAGCCAACTGTAGAGGAAGCACGCCTGATGCACAAACCACCAAACAGAACAAGCCCACAGAGGAAAAACAAACATCTCAGGCTTTAACTATATCATGCCAGGCTGGGCTCTGAGAGATACTCCTTCACTTGAACAGTTTAAACCGTCATGAGAAATTTGAGATGCATTGAAGGAGTTGAGGCTGAAATAAATATTAAATGTGGTTCCAAGTTAAGGTTCCTTTGAGAGACTGATCAGCGCCAACAGGCTACATCAGCGAAAAGTTTACGACTTGCTAACAACCGGGAAGAGAAAAAACTTGAGCTTGAGCCATGTAGTGTATTTGTGTCAAGGCTGGTTAAGGCTGTGTTTCTAATAGGCTTTTACAAAGACTGTTTTTTGTTTTTTTTAATCAGGTATTACATCTATCAAACCAGCATCTGTGAGCTGCCTAAACCACTCCGATTTGGGACAAAACACAGCCTACACAAAAATACAATCATCAACAACATCATCACAAAACACAGTGCAAGCTAAACACAGCCTAAGCTAAGGTGAACAAACAGAACAATCAAAACATGTTATGTCTGGTTTGTAAGACATTTTTAAGTACATGGTAGCAGTATTCCAGAGGCATGGGTTCATTAATTTTAAGCAAATTAGAGGTTAGTGATCACACACAACAACAACAACAACAATAACAACAACCAGCTTAAAGTGACTGCATAAAATAGTAACAAAGAGCAGCTCAGTATGTCATCATCTAAGTTTATTCATTTTATTTCATTTATCATTTTTTTGCCCTGCTCCTTCTCAAATATTTTATTTCTGGCACATGCTGAATATCACTGTACTGTTTTTCAAAGCCTTTTTGACTTCTGACCAAATTGCATGCAAAGCTCTAAAAAACTAAATTTAGACATCATGAAAATGCCTTCAAGTTACATGCTGTTATTTTCATTTTATTTTGCCCAATTTTAACAGATTTAAATATCATATGAAACCGTGATACCGCGATAAATTTGGAAAATATCGCGATAATGAATTGTATCCGTACCGACCAGCACTATTTCAAACCAAACTCCAGAACTCAGCAAGCCTACCTCAGCTTCTTTGGCCGCGGTGCTCACAGCCTGCACCTCCAGAGAGCAGCTGGCTCTCTTCACCACCACGTACAGAGGGTAATCCTTGGCCACCATACTGTCGCTCTCGCCGGCTACGGCTGAGGGAGGAGCGGCGGGAGGGAAGCCGCAAGCGAACCGCCCGGCCACGGTGCCCGCCAGCTCTACGGAGATCCAGCGCCCTGCGTGGAGAGCGCGCCACGGAGCATCCCCAGTGTGCGTGAGCGCGTGTGAGTAGGTGCTCGCCAGCTCAACACTGACTACAGAGAACCACCTCTCCCTCTCGCGCGCGTGTGCCGGAGATGTTTTTTTCCCTTTCTTTCTTTTCTTTCTCCGCCTTTCTGAACTAGAATTGGCCGCTTGTTCATACAAGCCCCGCCCTCCTACGCTAGGATTGGATAATAGTTCGCTAGTGGTTCTAGAATGGCAAGCAACAGTCTGCATTCTAGAACATCCTACTATCCAAAGGCAGCGCAGGAGGGCGGGGTCTGTAGGACGAAATAGCCAATCCTAGCGCAGGAGGAGCGAGTGTTTGCCGGAAAACGGGTGGGGGGAAAGAACAGTATCGGAATACAGGTAGAATAACCGCAGCACGGGCGTGATTTTCAGGAATACAGGTGGGAAAACACGCGTGTGGTAAACGAGGATGGTTAAACATCTCCTGCTGGTAGCACAGCGTGTAAACTCATGGGAATCGGTGGAGGGAAGGCGAGGGCGCCGCTCGCTGGAGCAAATGCTTTTCCTCCCCAACAAGACATCCGACTCCCACAGAGACGAGGCAACCACTGCCAACTTTTACGTTGCATGCAACTACAAGTGTTGGAAATGATCTCTTTCTGTCCCTCCTCAGGCACTTCTAAACCACAACATGCTGCCGTTGATCGCCGTTCCCTGCAGGACTGTCTCTGCTATAATCAGCGTAAGCAGTTACTTACAGGGCTCTCCGGCCAAAAAGGGCCCAGTAAGTTTCTCGTCCTTATTAATTTTTATAATGTGTGTGCCTGTCATGATTTCAACAGACTAACATGTCATATAAAGACATTATTCATGACTTTGCTTTCAAAAAGTGATGCAAATGCCACTTAAACAAATACTATAATTTATTTTGTTTATATTAAGGTTTATTTATTTAATTTATTCTATTTATATAGACAATTGAGTTGTTCCTCAGAATATAGTTTATTATTGTTTAATGGAGCTTAAAAGGGAAATCCACTGAATTTCTGAAATGTATGCATAATTAACTGGTCACACATGAAATAGTTCCTAATATGTTATATATATATATAAAGTGTTTTGTCTCATGCAAAGCATATATATATATACATATGCCCTGCGATGAAATGGCGACCTGTCCAGGGTGTATCCTGCCTTCCGCCCAATGATAGCTGGGATAGGCTCCAGCACCCCACCGCGACCCAGAAGGATAAGCGGTTTAGATGATGTATGTATGTATGTATGTATGTATGTGTGTGTGTGTGTATGTATATATATATATATATATATATATATATATATATATATATTATATATATATATATATATGTTAATCGCTGCTTTGCATGAGACAAAACACTTTACAAGTACATTTTGGCACTGGAAACATCTAAATGAGTGGCCTGGCTCCATAACAGTAGGATTAATAAGCGATTTAATGTCGAAATGTTCAAGTACTTCATTAACATTGGCCCTACACAAACAGAAATCCAGCAGCTCTACATGCAGATGTGAATCTTTTTTTGCCAAAATGATCGCACGCCAGTTTTACAGCAGCCGAAGACTCATGTTTGGACCAGAAACCGCTGGCCTGCCATTTCCACTACTGCTAAACTGACACAGACTGTTTGGACTACAACATACACTCACAAACGTCTTCCTGCTGCAGAATTTAATGACTTCAGTGTGTGTGAGCTGGAGAGGAAACGAGAGAGAGAGAGAGAAAAAGAGACAGAGAGAGAGAGAGACAGAGACACAGACAGAGACAGAGACAGAGAAAGAGAAAAAGAGAGAGAGAGAAAAAGAGACAGAGAGAGAGAGAAAAAGAGAGAGAGAGACAGAGAGAGCGCATGGGTAAGAGGGAGAGAAAGAAAGAGAACAAGAAAAAGTAAAAGAGTGGGAGAATGAAAGAGAGGAAGGCAGAAAAAGAAAGAAAGACAAAGAAAGCATGTTTAGATAGAGAGAGAGAGATGAAATGGCACATGTCAGAGAAAGCGAGACAGAGACAGAGAGAGACAGTGAGAGAGCATGGGTGAGAGGGAGAGAAAGAAAGAACAAGAAAAGAAAGACAGTGGGAGAAAGAAAGAGAAGAAGACAGAGAAAGAAGGAAAGAAAGAAAGAAAGAAAGAAAAGCATTGTCATAATGAGAGAGAGAATAAAGAAAAGGCACAGGTGAGAGGCAGAGAAAGAGAAAGGAGAGATGAGGAAAGCATGGGTGAGAGGGAGAGAAAGGCAGAGAAAAAGGGAAAGAGAGTTTATAAGAGGATAGAGACAGATTCAGCAGATGGAGAGAGTCATAGAGCGAGGGATGGAGGATGGAAAAGAAAGAGATATGTGTATGTATGTGTCCATCCATGCGTGCGCGGTTCCGCCTTTGTTCCCAGCATCCTCCTCTGCTCTGCCTCAGGGTCAAACTCAGAGCCAAGTGTAACTCTATTGGAGCCTGTTTTTATGATTTGCTAATTGTAGCGGGAGAGTGAAAATAAACCCCTCCCACATCAACATGCACGGGAGCTAATGCTCCAGCCGGCGGCGGCAGCAGGAAATCAGTCCCAGCTTTAAGAGTCTTTGTTCTGGCCTAAGGTTCCTGCCATTGTGCAGCTATCAGGCCTGGGGAAGTGCGCTACCGCTGCTAGCTGGGGGGCGAGGTGGGGATGGGGGGTCAAGCTCAGTCAGCACGATGACCATAAACAAACAGGCAGCTTTGACACTCACTCAGCTACTTGTCAATCAAGTATGGGTATGGGGTATCGGGTATGCGGTGGGGGGGCATCCAGGCCCTGCCTCAGCTACCAGTGGCAAGTCCAGGCCAATTTTATAGTGGGGGGCTCTGGAGGGGCACAGAATCTGAAGCAGGGGATTTTGACTTTCAGACTTTGTTCCTAGCTGCACTGAAGCACCGTGGCTGAAAGTTATATTTCATTTATTAGACATGCACACGTAGTCTTGCTATGTATTAATAATATTACCCATTGTGTCGCATGACAATAGAAATGCTTAATGTGACTTACAGGCCTACTGGATCTACCACAATCTGTATTAAAATCAACACAACAGAAATACACTTTACTTGACCTCTGTTCTTTATGACTGGTTTAATTCTATCCCAATTTAATCAGCCCGATCTCCCACAGAATTCCGTAGCACAACTCATATCACCTCCAAACAGCACAAAGCTTTCAATGCCAGAAAGCAGACAAAGAGAAAATAAGAGGTACTAGGATCTGACCTGAGGACAAAAGTGAATTAAGGCTCTCTGGATAATTACGCAGGTTGTTTCCTGAGAAGTTTTTGACTATCGTCCTGCATACATTAGAGCACCAACTTGGTTGAGATGTAGCAATAGCAAGTGAACAAGCAAATTACATTGCAATTTTTTACATGGGTGTGCCATTCATTCATTCTTTTGCAGTGAACCGCATAAGATACTTGTTGCATCCTGGAGTCAATGATGTACTGATGCACCAAACTTGTTATTTAATGGTAACTGCAAACACTGGACTGCCTAAAGGAGTGGGTAGGAAATGTTTTTTCAAGCAAATAATCAATTACTCCTCAAACAAATAGCTATAAATATACTTTTCTTGGTGGCCTAAGACTCTACAGAGTACTCTGTATGCTGTATAAGACTTTGTGGTTCAATGAGGCAATAGTGTAACCTCTTCACTTCCATCACATTCCACTGCCATCAATGACAGCATCAGCTTCACTGACCTTGTTTCTGTAGACCTAATTCTGTATAAAACCAATAAAACCATAATGGTTGATTCATGATTCATAGTTCTGCCTTCCTGCTTTTGATCTTACTCAGAATCAGCATCATGGGCAAACAACCACAGTGAAAAAAAAGTCCTCTTCACAGAAATGCTCTTGCAGTGCTCGCTATTTTAATGACCTGCATTGAAGCATGCAGTGCATGACAGTTATATCCTCTGGCAGATGGGTTCCGAGCTTAATGTGGAATTCTTGCATCTCTGTTACCGTCACTTCTGGCTTTTGGGTCTGATCTGTGGTTGAGATAACTGCTGTCTGCATGTGGTTTTTGGTGTCTGTAAGTGGGCAGGTGGAAACTGAGCATTAACACCTAAGAATAACACTGATAAAGAAGCAGTATGCTGGTAGATCTTGTGGTTTCCATTGGTATTTTAAGGTGTTAGGACCAGCGTGGCTGCTGAACCCAAACAAGCCATTAATGGGCATCATCCTTTTGATTGTAGCTTCATTGTTTCATCAATCTAAACTGCATTTTAATGTGGTGCACATTTTCCAAACAAGAACCATATTTAAATACTGTCCACACACCCCTTCTAATTCGTGGGTTCAGCTACTTTGAGGCACACCCATTGCAAACTAGAAGAAAGAGACACTTTGGATAAGCAACACACAAATCTAAATTGCCAAGTGCAATTCCAAGGATCATCTCTAGTGACATAGATTCTTGCTAGTAGACTGAGGATCAGGGCAGTCATGTTGTGGGGCCTGATGGGACACCACTGAACCCCCTAAGAGGAGTTGGAGTGATTAAGCTCGACTGATTATCTTTAAAATGAGTTGGAAGAACCACTAAACACCTCTTTTGGGATTAGTTTGAGTTATTAACATATTATTGAACACATTTAGGAACAGCTGGAGTGATGGAGCTCTACTGAACACCAGTAGGATCAGTTGGAGTAATAAAGCTCTTTAGGATAAGTTGAGGTGATGACACTTTGTTCCAACATATTTGGGGTGAGTTGGAGAGGTAAAGCCCAACTAAACACCTTTGGGTTAAGTTGAAGTGAGAAGTACCTCTGAACACCCTGAGGATCAATTGAACAGATGGAGCTTCACTAAACACTTTTAAGATGAGTTGAAGTGATTAAGCTCCATTGAACATCTGTGGGAAGGGCAGGAATGAAGAAGTTCAACTGAACACCTGTTGGATAAGTTAGAATGATGATGCACCACTGGACGCCTTTGGGATGAGCTGGAGTGTTAAAGCACCACTGGACACGTTTGGCATGAGTTGAACTGATGAAGCACCACTGGATGCGTTTAGGATGAGTTGGAATGAGAAAGCACCACTGGACAAGTCTGTGAT